AAAGTCATTGGTTTCTAAAATAGCAGTTTCAATGCATTCAAAAGCTTTGTTCTCAACTTCTTCACTCTCTGTAGCATTAAGTCTTCCATCTTCTTCAAATCATCTCCAGTAATATCTTTTATTGAGTCCTCAACGTGTTTGAGTATGTATCTAGGCACACCATCTGTTTTGTGTAAAATACTAGCCACTGTTTCTTCTGGAACCAGTGGAAAAACAAGCCTCTGACAAGATAATAACTCCACTAATGTCATGGATCCATATAATATTTCTTCAAATAATTCTTTCAAATTCCTGAATTCCTTTGTCCTGATTCCATTTGTGATAGGGGAACTACTGTCTTTGTCTGAACTAATTTTGGAGATATGATACCATCTACCAGATACCATGTAGTAAATTTGTTGAGTCAATATGAGAATTCATAATATTTTCCTCTTGTCATTGTTAAATTCTTGAAGCAGTAGAAGCACCCATCATTGAAAGGCTGAAAAATAACAGTAGCATTCTCACATAAAAGTTGTATTAAAACGTAAATCAAGAAACATGATTTTCCACTATCTGATGTGCCAGTGACGAGGAATTTTGTTAAACTGCCCTTTGCCACTTGATTTCTTCTTCAATTGGTTGTAAAGGAACTTGTATGATTTTTTCACAAAAATTGCTTTCTTCTCACATCACTGCAAGCTTTTCATCATGTTAATAATAATATCATTTCGTTGGTCTTGGTCTATTTGCATTTGACGTAATTGGTCCTTCTATCTCTTACTACATTACAAATGCTCTCAAAAAATGGGTCTGATAAGTGATGTGAGTAAAAAGCAATAATTTGAAAAGTCATTAGTTATGGGATTCCAAGACTCACTTCACACATTGCAAGAGCTTATCCAATTTTTGCTTTATTTGACTCGGTGAATTGATGTTTCTCTGCACAAAAAAAAAAAGTCGATGATACTATCAAAAATCAAGCCAGGTCATGTGTTACTAATTTTATACAACTCACTTACTAGCATCAACGGGTGGTTCTATGATAACGTGAATGTGTTTTTTTGCAATAAGAAGCAGGGAAGAAAAGCACAAGAATAAATAAGTAATGGGACAGGGAAGATGAAAAAAATTAAGTTGATTAAATTTTTATACTCAATTCTGCGATTGCTGAAGCCGGTCCATATGGCAGTTTGAACGGGTCAAATTCATGAGTAAGTTCTTCTCTGTTTAAACGAAGGAAGGCTTTACCAGTGACCCTCTGATTATATATCACACTAATATCATTTTCTTCAAGTTCTAATTCAGCTCTGTTCTTTTGTAAAAATTCTTTAACATTATCTCGACTCCATCCTTTCACTACTTCAGCTGTTGGGAGATTAGAGAGATTATATGTAGAAACACTTTCAGAGGAACTTGTAACATTAGACATGGTTTTGGAGCTGGGGTGTGTATATATATATATCTTAATATATTAATATATTCGAGAAATTATCACACAGATTGATCTGACTAATCAGCTAATAAATAATTCGATCAACGACAAGATTTTTTTCGGCTTCGGTTTCTGGATTATGGTATTCATGAAAAGAAAAACAGTTCAGAACATAACTATTATACTTGGGCATCAACTTTACAATTTACATGACTGATCTTTTGATTAGCCCTATCTATCGGAGGAATTCAGTTACTCTATGATCATGTGAACTTGAATTTATTGCTTGCACAACTTAGATAATATTTATCATTATAAATCTTCATTATCCGACCCTTTCACATCACATGAAAAATATATATGCGTAATCGATCACCAGAATCAGCTTTATTCATCACAACTATAAAAATAAATAGTTGAGCTGTCTTCTTAGATAAGGACACATTATAAAGTAAACCATATTAACGATCAGAATATAATAGATTCTTTATAAAATTTTCCGCAACTTATATCCCAACAATATCCCGGCGAATCTTTGTTATCAGAGTACATTACACTCGTCAGAGAAACTCGAGCTAAAACTTGAAGAATTAAGGGTAGGAGTTATGACGGATTCACTTAAACAATATGGAGAATCAGAGACTGGCACGTAAATGCCATTGTTTTGAAAGTAAAGTTTGGTTAATACATCTACCTTAGCTGGAGTACTCGCCTCAGTTTTCGAAGTCACATGAGTTACTACTTGATTTTTCCCTGTTTCCGAAGTTATATAATTTCTGTTGTCGAAATTTTAGTTACGTGCGCGTTTTGATTCTTCGCACTGATCACTTTTGGGAGAAAAAAAATTGAACGTCTATACTTTGATATAATACCTCATTTACACAGATATGTCTCGCAAATCTAACAATGCAATACCGAAATCTAGCTAAGTATATTATATATACACCATGGAAGGTGAAAATATAATAGGAATAGCTAAGATGAGTAAAGTATTTTCAGAAGTTGCTTGGTGTGACATATTTAACTTGTGATGGTTATAAATACATTGAACAATTATTGAAGGAAGGATTAACATCACTTTTAATTATATTTTAAATATTTTTATTATAATTTTTATTTTTGCCATCCATTTACACTCTTATATACAAAGAAAAAGTTTAAACATTTAGTACCTTTATTAAATCAAGGACCGTTGACATTACCATTGATAAGAACATTCCAGATGAACATGCTGTCAATTTAATTCAACAAACCGATTTTTTATCAATGCTGTTGGAATATATTCAAAGCATTCGCAGATAATTTATTATAGCAATATTATTTTATTTGATTGTAATCAACCTGAAATTTTAGTTAATATTAAAGTGGGGATTATTCCAATTTGATAATTAAAAAATTTTTAGGCAGTTTATTGTTTATTGAATATAGTATTTAATGGCCACATAAGAATTGTTATCAGGCAAATAAATCGATTAGCCAATTAATTGAATTGATCAGATAGTTGTTGATTTTTCTTGTAGGGTTTTATCACCTCAAGATGTCGATTTATTTTTTTTAGGATGACAAATATGTTGGATTACTTTCAGTTAAAAATCAAATCATAGTCATATACCATTATTGGCGTATTTTTTTTATCTATTTAGGGAAAAACCCCTTATTAATCAAATTTATAGACGGAATAGATGGATTAGAAAGTGTTACTACATCAGAAGATCAAAATTTACGTAAATTAGCTAGTCAATTAACAGATCAATATTTTGACAAGGGATCTACTTTCCAATGACAATAACAATAAAGAAACGAATGAATGAATGAATGAGGCAAATAAATGATAGTATGTGTAAATTTAAACCATTTTCATATTAGATTGATATATAATATATATTACATTTCAAATAGATTATTATTGTTAGATTAGTAGTAATAGTAATATTTATTATTATTATTATTATTATTATTATTAATATATTCTATTTGCCTTATTCTGGAGCATAAGAAAATAAAAATGAAACTGATTCACCATTATGTGTACGTCGAATGGCTTTTTTTTTAAAAAAAAAGCATGTTAATAATTATAATTATTATATTTAAATCAAACCAATCTATAAACAAAAAAAAATCACCTTCAGATAAAGTGGAAGAAATATTGATTGTGTCAATTTTTGAACAAATAGCTTTCTTGTCATCATGAGGTATGGTATTTGTTACAACCAATCTTTCTAAACAACTTTCATTGATAACATCAATTGCTTTACCAGACAAAATACCATGTGCAACAATTGCATAGACTTTTATTGCACCATTTTCTTTTAAAGTTTTAGCAGCTAAAGCCAACGTACCACAAGTATCAGCCATATCATCAACCAAAATTGCTATTTTACCTTTAACATCACCAACTAATACCATTCTTGAAACTTCATTGGCTTTTTTTCTTTCTTTATGAATTAAAGCAAAATCCAAATTCAAGCGATCTGCCATTGAAGTTGCTCTATTCCAAAGAAATAATTTTAAATGTAAGTAAATATATGTAATGATTTTATATTTTTTAAAAATATCTGTATAAATTACCTTTTTGCACCACCGGCATCGGGTGAAACAATAATAGCATTTTTATAATCAGGAATATTAGTGCTAATATATTTAAGCATGGAGGGTTCACAATATAAATTATCTACAGGAATATTGAAGAAACCTTGAATCTGGCTTGCATGCAAATCCATTGTGATTACATGATTAGCACCAGCAACTGTTAACATATTTGCAACTAATTTTGCAGAGATAGGTGCTCTTGATTTGTCTTTTTTGTCTTGTCTAGCATAAGGAAAGCAAGGAATCACTGCCGTTATTCTTCTTGCAGATGCCGACTTACAAGCAATGATCATGATCAAAAGTTCCATTAAATTATCATTGATTTCTCCGCATCCAGATTGAATAATGAAAACATCTTCATCACGAACTGATTCACCAACGATAACTGAGGTTTCTTGGTTAGAATATTTTACCACTATTACTTTTGAAAGATCTATACCTATTCGACTATTATTATTATTATTTATATAAAGAATTTATTTTCAACCAAAGTTTATTTTTATATATAAAATTTTTTTAAAAAGAAAAAGTTACATTCTTACCGCGCTACAAGTTTTGCAAGATCAATATGTGAATTACCCGTAAATATCTTTATGGAATTCGTTGACATTGGTAAATATGTTGCTAGGTGTATATGTTGAAAAAAGATCGGTTAAAGGCTCCACAGCAAGTTACATAAAAATAAATAATAATAAATAATTAAAAAAAAATTTTTCAAGATTTTTCAATAACAACAATTACCGAATTAAGTAACAAATAATGATGATTGTGATGATTATCGTTGTTCAATTATTATTATGTAAATCCATCGTGACGATGCAACGAATCCTTTCTTTGACAGATCACCATTATGTCTGAAACCAAAAATTACTCTAGTAATAATTCAAGTATATTTAATGATAATGAATGAAATTCAATATCGAGAGAATCTTATAGAGATATTGATAACCAAGCAGCTTTATAATGGAAATTTAGAAGAAATGTTATTATGAATAAAATGTTTTCTATTAATGATTATTATAGTAGAAAGAAAACATCATTAACGAATGAACAATGGCATGAAGAATTGGTGATTTGTTAAAAAGATACAAAATCTTATTAAAATTTTTAGGGTTAAATTTATATCATTAAATATTGAATTTCGATATTAACAACAATAGTAGTGTTTTGATGCACACATATAATCTTGATCGTGGTGTCAACTGACAAGTAATTTATTACATTAACAATTATTTATAAAAATAACTCTAAATCCCATCGTTATTGACAGGCGAAGGAACTCTCCAATCTTTAAATCATAATTAAACTTTGGAATCAATTACAAAATTGTAAAACTTCTAAAAAATGACAAATAATTTAAATTTGTCTTTTTTTTTTTAACCGAGCGAGTCCAACATTTAATTTGCCAAGACTTTTTTTCCAATATATCAATAGTCTAATTAATTCTTTGAAAATTTTAAAATAAATTATTCACTAAACCTGATATTGTCTTTTCATTGTTTCCTTGTAATTTTTCTAAAAGAAGTGAATGATAAATTCTATATTAATTATTTCAATTTTAAATTTATCTTTACAACGCCACGAACACTGTCACTTAATATCACATTTTAAGTGTCTCTATTTGGAAATAATGTAAAAAAATTTTATTTTTTTTTATTTATCTGTGAAAAATCTGAAATCAAAACAAATATACAATAATATAATTTCGAAAATGTCTTCATTTAACAATAACATTAATAAGATTAATAACAACAATGACAACAACAACAATAATTGGCGCCATTCTTTGAAAGAGGAAGAGCGCAAACAAAATGTTTTGCGTTTTTACAAGGCTTTGGAAATCTTTAATAAAAATCCAACTCATGATCAACGTTTATTAGAATTAGTCAGGAAATGGGAAATTGAAGCTTTTGAAAAAGCTACTTCTAAAGAAAGTTATGAGCACTTCAATAGTGAAAGATTGAAAAGCTTAAACAAACAAATTCAAGAAAAACAACAACAAAATCAAATTATTATCATGCAACAACAGCAACAACAACAATTATATTTACAACAGCAATCACAACCTAACTTACAATTACAACAACGACAAATGTTACAGCAACAACATCAATTATTGCAACAACAGCAACAGCAACAACAAAATCCACAATTACAACAACTACCACAGCAACAAAGTTTAGCTCAACTTCTTCAGCAACAAAAATCTGTTCAGATTCAATCACAACCTGTTCTTCCAACTGTTGAACAACAAGTTGCTCAAGTATTTAAAAATCAACAAATTCTACAAAAAGCTTATCAAACACGACCAGATTCTTTGACTCCACAACAAATGGTTTATTATCAGCAATTATTAAGACTTCAACAAAATCCTTTGCTGCAACAGATTCTTATACAAAGACCACCTACTACTGTTGTTCATTCTCAATTAGGACATCTATCAACGCAACAAAATGTTTCACCTCAACTTCTTCACCAATCTCCTAATTCTAAACAAACATCAAATCAGCAGCAACAGCAACTTAATAAGCCTGTTGCCTCTAAAATTAATCTTTCGCCAGAGGAATATATTAAATTAGATGTGTCAAATAAACAAAGGGAAGATGCTCAGAAAGTAGATGATGATACGATTACAAGTAATGGTGGTGATGTTGATAATGGTGGTGGTCTTGGCATCAATGAAATGATAAAAAGAATGACAAAAACTAATCAACAAGCTTATCTTGTAAAAGAACAAACACCAAAAACATTTGATAATAATGATTTAAGTTCTAACTCCAAACAAGTGGCTAACAATCAAAAATTCATACCTAGTGAAACTGCACAACTTTTGGCTCAACCTATTATTTCACCACCATCACAACAACAACAACACAATCTACAATTGATTAATCAAAAGATTGAGAATATTAAATCTGCAAATATGGTTCACCCACAATCTCTAGTTCATCCTAACAATATTAATATCAATACTACACAACCAGCATTATTATTTTCTCCTAAAGCAACAAATAATTCTATAACTCAACAACAATCAAATCAAATTGCCAAAGGTCAACTAATCCAACCACAATCACAGCCACAACAACTGATACAAAGACAAGTACCCAACCCTGTACATTCTCCAAATAATATTAATAATAACAACAACCAAAATACTATGAACTCTACAAATACACCTGCCAATAATAATACTTTTGCTCATAATCTTATAAACCAACAAAATAATAATAATCCTGCGTCATATATCAGAACAATCTTAAATCCTCAATTAAATCCTGATTCAAATATAAATCCTGCTCCCAACTTACCAATGCGCATACAAAGACAGGTTAATCAAAGAACAGTTGTTCAACAACTCCAACAACAACCAACAAATAATAGTAATATAAATAATGTTGCCATGCCTCAACAAACTCGACCACTGATAATCTCTCAGCCAAACATCAAACAATCAAATCATAGTCTTTCTATGTCAATAATAGGTAATAGTAGTGATAGTGGTAGTAATAATGATAATAACAGAGATAATAATAATAATTCATCAAATGGTGGCACATTTCAGAATATTAAATCAGAAGAAGCTGTTGTTGCTATTGAAGAAATTAGACGACTTGATGCTAAAGCTTGTGAAAAAAAAATACCATACCGTGAACTTCCCGATCTTAGTGATGACGAGAAAGCAAAAATTCATGAAAAATTGGAACTATTAAAACCAATGTACAATGAAATTGACAAAATACTTCCTTACTTTTACCATTATACTAAATCTCAAGTTGGTACACACAGACTTATCATAATGAAACACATGATTCGTGACCAATTAAAAGAATTACCTGGTAGATATTTTCTTTCATTGAAATCTGTAGAAGATTTGTTAGTGCATGTTAACAAATACTTTGTGTTTGTCGAAAATAGAAGAAAAGGCATCAAGGAAGAATTAAATTTCACTGCTACAAATAACTCGACGCCCACCAATGTTCCAAGCCAAACCATGCCATCTATTACACAGAAAGCCATTTCACTAACTCTTCCAACTCCAAAGCATTCTTCTGATGCTAATAACAAGAAACACAAACTTGATAATGAACAAAAAGAAGGTAAATCTTTTGATTCATATGAAAATTTAAATAAAAAAAGAATGCTGGAGAGTCATGTTACTGATAGGAATGAAGTCAAATATAATGACTCTGAAAATACCAACACCAACAACAATAATAATATTGACTCTGGTCATGATAACGCGCCTGAAGATTATGATAAGGAGGCATCGTTTGAAGATATCCATGAATCACTAAAAGATATGATGAATACACTTAAAGGTATTATGGATACTGAAAAAGCAGCTGAGGAAAGCGAAGATAGTCTTCTTCCTTGTAGTACATGTGTGGAAATTAGTCCTGACCTCGTTTGTATTGGCAAGACCTTGTCGAAATCTGCTTGAATGATACTTCATCGAAATGACTCGTTAATTGTTAATTGGTGCTTTAGTTGGTTATTTTATCTATTTTGTATATATGAAAAAATTTAGTGTCATCTTTTTATAAAAAAAATTTGTTATTTTCTCATCCTTTTATTTGTTTGGTTTTTGTTGAGTTAATTTTATATTTAAAATAATAATGAATGAATTTGAAATTGGATATTGTAAATAAAATTTCTATTCTATTCGTAATACTAATCGAATTATTCGTAATGTAACAATCTTGATTCAAATTACTCGTTTTATTCGTTTTGTAAAATATAAAAAATATTAATTCGCAGCTTGATGCAACAAATCCTATATTATTGCTGTTGCTATTGTCAAGAGATTTTAACTATTTATAAAATTATAAATAAGGTCTTATTTCCTTTATAAATTACAATAATATAATTATATTTATAATCTGCATTACTACTATAGTTACTAGTATTATGACTTAAGAAAAGAAAAGAAAAATGCCCTTCTGCTGCCGCCTATAGAAAAAAGTATTTAATTGGATTAGCAATGTGCATATTAATATATTATTTATTACTATATAGTAACCTATGAAGTTTGCGGGTATAGGTTACTACTACTGCGGCTGGATCAAATTCATATTTTTTGTCAGTGAAATTATTGATCAGTTAAATCAATTGATTGATAAAATTTCAAAATTTTTAATGTTGGTAATATATTATGGTCAAATTACGTTATTTTTTCTAATGTTGTTACAAGCCTTAGGAACAAGTTATATATTAAACTTAATTTTGGTCTGGGTCAAATCATATAACAAACAGGAATTTATGTTACTGATTCTAAATTGATTGTATGTAATTGTTGAAACCGAAACAGATGGTTTCAATTACTTTATAGATGAAAGGAATTCATATATTAAAAAACTTCAAAATGCCAAAATTTTAAAGAATTAAAGAATTTTTGGTAAGATGGGGGTGCAGTGTGTTCATTTATTTTTAAAAAATTTTATGCATTATAATTAAATAATGGATTTTATCAAATAGGGCATGAGGTAGAAGAACATACAATAAAACATGATAATCATATATTAAGTGCTTAGCATATATCAAATGGTAAAAAGTTATCTAATGGTAATTACTTTCAAAGAATTAATGGTGATAATGATTTAACTTCTGATGAATTAAGCATTGAAGACATATTTAAACAGTTCAATATACCTTTATCCAATGTAATATATAATGAACAAGATGATAATGTTTCACCAGCAACTGCTACCAAATCATCATCAATTAGTAATGATAATAGTAGTATTACTTCAAAGGGTCATGTTAAACTTGTAGCATTATTATGGCAGGGACTGATGACTTTGTAATGAGATTTGTATATGTAGTGTTGAATATGAAAATAGCTTAGCTTGTTTATTGGCTGATGCTGGATATGATGTTTGGTTTGGTAATTCATGAGGAGATAAATGTTCAATGAAACATGTTGAATATCCAAATGATAATAAATTTTGGAATTATTCTATGGATGAATTGATTCATTATGGCTTGCCAGACACGATTAATTATATTTTAGAAGTTATTGATGCAAAGTCACTCGTTTATATGTATGGGATTTTTACAAGGTTCAGCACTATGTTTTGCCACATTGTCATTACTACCAGACATAAATAAAAAAATTAATTTGTTTGTAGCTTTAGCACTTATAACAAATCCAAAAGGTATTTTTATACACAAATTCTTTAATTTATTTAATTGATTTTTTTTTATTAAATTTATGAGTTTTGCAAAATTTCTTGTTAAATAATTTGGTTAAATTATAATATATTTATTGTTTGGTAAAAAATCTATATTATCAATGGTAATATCCAGGAAACAACCTCAATATTTATGAAGATAATTGATATATCACTTAAATTATTACTTGGTTGGGATTGTGAAAATATTTCAGAATTACAAAAATTAATTGGATATTATCATTCACTAGTGTTAAAAGTTTAGCCATAATAAATCTTAATAATAATTTATATATATATTTTTTTAAAAGTACATCATGGAAAATTTCAGAAGTTTGAAGACCCTTCCTTTCACAATAACTCTATTAATCAAGATTAGCATTATTTATTTTATGGTGGCAGAGATAATTTAATAAATATGGAATTTAGAAAAATTGATTGGTTGAGTCACAAATTTGTATCACGTGTCAATTGAATTCTCAACACCGCTTGATGATTCTGATCTTGTAAAAAGTGATTATAATAACAGCATATATGAACTATATATACACTGTTACCAATTAAAACTACTTCTTTTAGTAACTAAAGTTGCCCAAATACTTGAGGGCAAATTTAATTTTTTATTGAAAGATTTATTCAAGTCAAAGCAATCATATTTTATTTTACAACTTGAAATGTCTTTCTCTTTCAAAATTTCCATTTGTTTATGAGTTAACTTATAGTCTTCACTTCATTTACAAACTGGTAATTCGGAATTTGTACAAGTGAATTAAAGCTCCATGTAAGCTGGCCTACAAGCCAAATAACTTAAATAAGTTCACAAGCTGGCTCATGATGAGCTTAATATGAATCAATCATTTGTTTTAATAATAATACCATAGGATATATATTTGTTCTTATCAAAATTTTCCATTTCACTTAAAATAATAACAATTATTGTCAATTGTTTACATAAATAGCTGTGGAATAATAAAAAGAAAAGGATATTAAGAAAAAATTATATAATTACCAATAAATTCATCACATTTAATCATTCATTTCAAAGTTTGGATTATAATTAGTACTATAACCTAAATAAGTAAGTATATTTATATGTGTGTGTATATTATAAAAATAATAGTAATAATGTTTACCTGACCCAGTTTCACTAGTGCCATTTACAACAATTGGAATAACTGGAATATATCATTTTGGTTCAATGCTTTGTCATATTCATTCAATTCAAGCAATTTGACATTATTAGGGTAAAAAATCATTCTTGTAAATGTAGCAAGTCTCATTTGTAAAGTATATGTGTACATATGCAGTATATGTTTTGTTATTTTTTAAAAAAATGAGTACCAAATTATCCTATAGTAGAATAAAAGGTTAATTTCATCATGATAATATGCAGAATACTCCATATTATAACTTGTCAATGTAGGATACACAAGAAAGTTAAAAGACCACGAATAATTTAATTAATTATTTTTATCAAGGGTAGACATAACACGTATTTTACTATTATATGAGTGGATAGTTTGTTTGGCTACTGATCATTAAGATGGGTAAAGTGTATAACAAAGAAGATAAAAATTAGAAGGTCAATAGTAAACATCTTACTAAAATGAGTTTTTGACATAGCCTTGTATGAGGCTAATGGATGACCTTTTGTGAACAGCAGCAAATTATTATAAGATTTTGAATCAAAATTAGGTGATCAATTTCATCAATTCGTTTGGAGCTTATTCAGCAGATATTCAGTGAATAATCAAGTAAGCATTGATTATATAGGATGTTATATTTTAATTGACTAATTATCTGAGTATTGATTGACCAAGTAAGTACTTGAACACCTGGATAATCAATGGATATAACCACTACAACCACTCATTTAAAGGTCTTAAGAAAACAGTACCAGAAACATTGGAGTCTGTTCCTTTATTGAAAATAAGAGACATCATATATGAGTGCCTATAGGCTAAATTTAACAGGCTTTGTTTGATGTAAGAAAATGTACCTGAAACAAGTAGTTTTCTAATTGATCGCGACTTAGCGTTTGAAACTGTCTTCTGAGTTCCTGGTCAGTAAGAGTTTTTGACATGGCATTTAGAACTAGTCTGTTTTTTTAAAACAACTTCAACTACTTTTTAATCGGATAAATATATAATATAAATCCTGACTGGATATAATTTTACATATCACGTGATTCGAAACCTTTAAAGATAGCCACCAAAATTGATGTTTATAAATGATGTGTGCTATATAAATTTTCATTTTATTTTTGATTTTTTCCATGTCAAGAAATAATTAATTAGATTTTGATTTTGATTTTGATTTAAATTTTTTAGTAAATTTAGGTTTAGATGATGAAAATGATACTGAAGATGCTGATAAAAGTTCTTTTTCACCAACTCGAGGCATTGAAACTTTATTTTTTTGTCGCCAATCATTAAATCTAAAAATAAAAGAAATTTTAATTTCAATTCAAATTAATTAAAAAAAAATAATTAATACATAAACCTAACCTTCCACTTTTATAAGTAGCAGGTAGCTTTACACCACTTTCAGTTTTGATTAATTTTTTATTGTCAGATCCAATACCACCACCTCGTAAAAATGTTTTCTTTTTACTGTTCCATGTTAAAACCTTTCTTTTGTTTAATTCAGGAACATGTTCATCATTCTGTTGATCTAACATGGCTCTTTGTGCTTCCTCAATAAATAATGCACCCTGGTTCACTGAATAACTAAATTATAATAATAACAATTATTAATAATTTTTTTTAATATTATTAATTGTAAAGATTAAATCATAAATACCCTTTTTCTGTGTTTGCATCTTTTTGATAATGTGATATATAATGTTCTTCATCACGATAATTGTCAATTTTTGATTTCTTTGCTACATATATTTAGAAAAAAGGAAATTAATGATGAATAATAAAAACATATGTAAAATAAATGCTTTTAGGTAACATACATTTTTTATCAACATCACTGTTAGCCTTCCGCTTTGATGTCTTTGAATTATTCTATTATAAAGCAAATAAATTTAAAATTTTTTTACAAAAAAAAAATATTTTTTTTATTTATTTTTTACATTATTTTCTTCTTCCTTCTTAATATCAAATTCATCAGATTTTCTTTTTGAAGAAGCATCATGACGTTTCTTCATAATTTGAGCACCCATAGATTGTTTATTTCCTCGACTTCCCATTTCAAATATAGTCTATAAGTTTTTTTAGTGGAAATTAATTAGACATAAATTTAAAATGTACTTGCACACATTTAATAAATGATTAACCTCATGTGGACGAAAGTTTGATATTTTTTTAATGAGATTCTGACATTCTTTTTCATTTGGATCAACTTTATCAACTATTTTTAATAAAAAAAATAATTATTATTGACAAAAAAAAAATAGCAGATTGTGATCACTAATATATGAGAACCTAACCAAAAAGAGGATGAACTTCAGTGAAAACCATTTTTTCAACAAGCTCCTTAGTTCTTTTATAACTTTCTGAAGCAGCTATGGGTTTTGATTTGCAATACAACTTGTATCCATTTTTGGCAACCTTTTGAAGTGATTCAAGGTTACTTTCACCTTGCAACTTTTCTTTGACCCATTCCAAATGTATATCCAAAGAGCCACGAGGAAAACAACCAAAAATTATATCTTTAGTATAATCCAATGAGGAAGCATCATAATCTTCATTCTTCATGCCAATTATCAAACGACGGCTAAGAAAAAGTTGTAAATCTAACAGATATGGAAACTAATAAATTAAAAAATTTAGATATATATATATTGTACAAGTATCATTATAAAATTAAAATTATAAAAATTAATCTGCAAATACTTCATCATGGGTAATTAATGAATATGCCCATCCACTTTTGCCAGCTCTAGCAGTTCTTCCGACTCTGTGAATAAATACTTTACTACTATTAATAAAATCATAGTTGATCACATTTTCTATGATTGGGATATCAATTCCCCTGGCCGCAACATCAGTCACCACTAATAGATTGGTTTGGCCATTACGAAAATTACTTATTTGAATTTTTCGAGCTGTTTGATCAAGCGAACCATAAATATATGAAGTTTTGAATCCAGCTGAAATTAAAAGATTCGAAATGTATTCAACATGATGTTTTGTTGAAACAAAAATTATTGTTTGATGTGATGATGACAATAGTAATTCCTTTGATGCGGATTTTGATTCTTGATTTTTTTGTTTATTTGATTTTTTTTTCAGATTACTATTATCATTATTTTTTATATTAAATATGGATTCAGTTGGTACTTTAATTATCTCATGTAATGTATACAATAATGCTGCTTCTTTTTCTGTCTGTTTTACTGAAAAGAATGCCATCTATAAATTACAAAAATTAAATATTACATTCCTGATATAATATAAATATAAAATACCTCAAAAAATTATAAAATAATGATACCTCTAAATCACTGCTAATCTTGGTATCAGTATCCAGTCTTACTAGAGTAGGATCTTGAAGACCTGCTCTTGCAAACTCTACCAGTGATTTCGGTAAAGTAGCAGAGAAAAGTAATGTTTGACGTGTATGTGGTAACCTATGTAAAATCTCATGTAGTTGAACAGAAAAACCCATTTCAAATAATCTTTATAGTAATTAAATATATGTATGTATTAGGATATATATCAGAATATAAAATCATATCGAATATTAATATAAACCTATCAGCTTCATCAAAAACTATATATTCAACTGCACCAAGTTCTAAATTCATTTCCACAATTAAATGAAGTAAACGACCTGGAGTGGCAATAATACTAATGATATAATAAGTTTGGTTATATCATTAATCTAGATGAAGTATTATAACTCCCCCAAATATTTAAATGCTTACACATCAGGGTTCCCGAGAATCATTGAAAATTGATCCTCCAGGTTATCACCTCCAACCAGAATACATGCCCTAATATCAGTGTATTTTGCAAGCTCTTTACAGACCTTTTGTGTTTGTAATGCAAGCTCACGTGATGGAGACAATATTATAGCCCTTGTTCCTACCTAAAATAATTGAATAATTAATATTTTGTTATTGATTAATAAACATATCTAAATCTATGCATGCATTTTATCTTAAAATACCTTTGCAGAATGTATCTTCAATTTTTCTAACATTGGAATTAAAAAGGCAGCAGTTTTCCCAGATCCAGTTCGAGCCATACCAACAACATCGTTACCTTCCATTATTAAAGGAATTGTTTTGCGTTGTATAGGAGTTGGAACTTTAAATCCTTTTTTCAATACAGCTTTATATATAGGATAACTTAATCCTATCGTTTTATTATAAGGTAAAAAATTTATTGATCAATCAACCAATTTTTCACGTATATATTGATTAAAGAAATACCCATTGACTGGAAACCACCGGATTTTTTCTTTTTTCTATTGTTTGCTTGTATTTGTTTAGAGATGAATGATTTTTCATCATTGTCAGAAAACGATGAATCTTGGGTAGTTTGAGTTAATGAATTAAATATATCTAAATCTTTATCGTCTTGTGTCATCTTTATTTTTTTTAATTTAGATTTCAAAAAATTTTTAAAATGATCCTCGTTACTAATTTAGTAAAAAAGAATGCTCTTCTTATTACCAAAAGTAATTGGTCCATTTTTGTATAATAAAAGACCGAGATGGACCGTCAGTTCTCCAGTCCTAATTACATGGAGCATACTGCAACAAAGTAAACATTTCTATAGTAAAGACAAAATGTTACCAATCTTTGAGTGCTGTTACTTCACTAAATATGAGCTATTTTGCCAAAAGTTTTTTAGTAAAAAAAAAAAAAAAAGTTTATGATGGTTAAGATTACTATTGCTATGTTGTTGGCAACCATCTAAACTGCAATTTATCTATTATTCATGTGACCAAGTCACAGTTCTTTTACAAATTGAATTTTGCTATTGTTTCCATATCCATTAATACAAATTCCTATGAGATTTATATTGTTGTACAGCCACTCTTCTTGGAAGTCTTATTGTAAATTTTCTAATATTACAAATTTAATGCAACTGGGACTGTTACCTGTAATTCTTTCTAGCATGACTTTTATTTAACTGCACCCCAAAGACTTTTGATGTAGTTTAATTCACAGTGATATTTGAATAAAATATTATTTCTAATTGAAATCAGATAAAATTTGATATGTACAACAATAAACACCTTCAAAAACCTGTGTATGATTTTTACATTCCTTATATTTTTTAACAACCCATCTTTCCACAAACCTTGTTCTTCTAATACAGTAATATAAATTTCGTACTTTAGGCTCTCCATTAGACAAAATCATAATTATTTTCTTTTAAGAAAATTGATATCATTTACTTGATGATACACTCTCTGAATAACTGAATAAATAAATAAATATTAAATCATTTTCTTCTAGACTTTTGAATAAATTATTTGTATCACATGATGTCATTAATATTAGCTGAGATTTTAGGAGTGGGTCTGGCAAAAGTCTCAAATCTCACACAATAAATACATTAATATATACCAAAAGTTAAAAATAAAATGTTCTAATTTGGGGCATACTGCAACAAAATCAGACAAAGTGAACACTTGGTATTACCAAGAATTTCAGGGATCAAGATTTAGTCATTTGCAATGTGACTATAATCATTAACAATTTTATCCCTTAAACAGTTAATAGGCTATTGATAGCTGATAAAATTTTTCTGATATAAAAATTTTTTTCTGAAGGCATCACTTTCTAATACAAAAATGATCTTTGAGATTCAGCCAATTAATCTATAAATAAAAATCCAGTTGTTGTCCTTGTGGTTTTTGTAAAATCTTCTTTAAAAGTTGGTCGATTGACTGTTTTTACTTTGCTGATTGTTAAGAGATAATATCCCATTTGTTATCTTAAGTGATATATAAAACTATTCCTATATAAAAATAGTTAATATGAAACTCATTTACATAGATCTACTATGGAACCAAAGAATTATAGTACTATTAGGAGTATTTTGAAGGAAGAACAAGGTGAGACAATTGCTCCTTACATTTTCAAAATAAATGATACTCAGCTTATCTAAGGAAAGAAAAAATTACCTATGAAATTTACCAAGAAGAAAGAAAAATAAAAAATGTTAGAAAAAGAAAGCAGGATGAGGATGTACTATTACCTAACAAAAAGCAGAAGTCCTTAGAAGGAAAATAATCTTATTATAATATTTTGCTTTTATGCAAATATAATTAATGATTATTATCAATAAGGAAAAAAAGTTGTTTGAACGAATTTTACATTTGTTTTTTTTCTCATTGACATTGAAATAACTCTGCCTTGTATTGGAACATTGTAAAAACATCATCAGTTTATTTATTTCAGGTAAAAAAATATTCAAATAACAAATCCTTCTAATAATCACCATTAAACTGCAATTTTATTTTGTTTAAAAAACAAATAATATTTTCATTCACAATAACATTTAAAAAAAATGCTTACTTTCAATTATGAACTTTTTTGTGGGTTGTTAATTGGACTCTTTCTTGGTTTCTTGCTTCACCCAAAAATCAATTCTATATTGCAATCAAAAATAGATCAAATAATTGATAAAATAGAACCAAGAAAAAACCAATTTAAAAATAAAACAAATATACTTATTGGTGATAAAAAATATTCACAGTAAATTGAAAATCTATGGAAGCAATTATTTGATAAAAAGGTCGGATTGAATCTTGATTTTTCCTTTAACAAAATGGCCATTGAAATTCATGAATTACTTGAAAAGAAAGGAATTGTTGCTTCCACAATAAAAAATTTCTACCAACAAAAAACCAATCCTAGAAGGAAAACAATAGAAGTAATTCAGAAATGGGTTGACAAGGAAAAGAAAAAGGTAGAAAGTGAAGTTGAAGAAGATAATAAAAACAACAAAGATATAAATATTAGTAATAATAATATTGTTAATAATAGCAGTAATTGTGAATGTCAGAATGCCCAAAGAATAGGTGATACTTACAAATGGCTTTGGGTTTGAGTATTTTCCTCCCACGCAAATGCTCTGACAATTTTTTTGACTTATATTTTTGTAAAGTATTATGTATTTTTCTATTATTAGTTGAATTTAGTGATCACAATCATCATATTCATGAATATTCATTAAGGGGGTTACACTTATCAAAATCAAGTGATTGACACATAATTTTAAGGGATTTTTGGATTTTTGATAAGTGTAACCCCCTTAATGAATATTCATGAATATGATAGTTGAATTAAAAAAAAATTTCTTTTGTCATTTAAATTCCAAGCCATGTGCCCACTAATTTATCATTGGTCGAAATCATGCATAACAATTACAAATAAAAAAAAAATAAAAATAATTAATTTTAAATCTTTTTAATCCTAAAAAATGACAACAAAAAAAAAATTAAACAAGAATTAAACCGAATAGTAGGATATTATGAGGAGGCAGTGAAGAAGTTGGAGGAGCAAGAGAAGAGGATATGGGAGTTGGAAGAAAATTTAGACAATGGAAAAGATAGGAATGAAGAGCAGAGGAAAGGGTGGGAAAAACAGATAGATAGATTGATCAAAGAAAAAGAAGAATTGAAGAAAAATATGAACAATTGGAAGGAGCAGGTGGTATTCCTGCAGAAAGAATTAACTAAGTTTAACAAAGGAGAAGGTAATGAACAAATTGTGAAAAAAATACACAAAAAAATTATTTTTGTTCATTCCATTTCGTTTATATACTGTATACAACTTTAACTAACTTATGCTTTTTTTTCTTCAATACTTTGAACTTAAATTTTTTAAATTTTTTTTCTTCTATTATCTATTAATTATTATTCATTTTGGAATTACCCTTTTTTTAGTTGGTGTAGGTAAGTATCATTATTGCTTTTATATGAACTTAGGTTTTAAGGTTCCATTTAATATATTAATTATTTCTGTAATATGTTGATTAATTGTTCTTTCATCTGATCAATAATAATACTATTTTTTTCTTCTTGTTAATCTAATCATTGGTTCTTTCTTTTTTAAGATGTAAAAACAAAAATCAAAAAATTATGGAAGGATCACTTTAATGTTTGGGAAGGAAGAATATAATTTGACTCTCTTTAATGTTGGAAAGGAACATCCTTATTCAGAATACATTAACAAACTTAAAATTCCAGTACAACCCAACAATGGTGATAAATCACCTTCTTTCCTTTTACACAACTTACCAGAAGCTAATAATGAAGGGATAATAAATGGTGGTTATGTTAATAAAAATTATATGAATATGTTAAAGGAAAAGGCTATGAGTTGGAAATGATTTATTATGCTTGGAACCTCTGGGTAAGATTTTTTGTATGTGTAATTATATGTATAATAACAAATACCATTCTGTGATGCTAATGATTTTGAGAAAAATTGTGTAGAAGTGGGAAGACTCGTAGCTTGTTTGAATTGCTATGTCAAGTGTATGGTATCTATTTTACAATGCTTGCAGGTCATGACAACCCTGGACCCAAAGACTTGAATGTGGCTATCCATGAAATGGGTCGTGAATTTCAGAAAGATGATCCAAGGGCAAATACTGATATGGCTCTTAAAGTATATTCATTGTGCATTGGCAGCTTGTTTGTTTATTTTGTCAAAACTTCTTAAAAAAGCTAAAGCTCAAGGAGAGTTTTTAGAGCCAAGAAAGTGGTTGTTATTACAGATTTTACCCTCTAATATTGACATAGGACATGATGATTTTTGGGTAGAGCTTTCAAAAGTATTTCAAGATTATACAAATAATGAAATTGAAAATTTTATAAAAAATAAACTTCAAAAAATAGAAAAATTAACTAACAACATTAATAATCAAAAATGAAGGCCAGTTATATTTGATGAAACTCAAAATGCTATTGAAGTATACAAAGATAAGTTTCATTAATCAGATCATAACACTAAAAGACCATTGTATACAATTTTACTTCGTTCAATTGAATGGCTTTATATGAATAATGTTAGTGTCATCATGTCTGGGACAGGATTAAAAGTGGAAGCCATTGAGAAGAGTTCAGGTAGCTTTGTTCTAAATCGGGTGGACTTCTTACTACTGAAGATTTTTTTGGTGTTATTGGTGGATTTAAGAATATAAATGAAATGCATGACTTTATCCAAAATTTCTTACCCTTATCAAAAAACAATTGGAAAAATTTTTTATCATTATGCAAGGCTGATATCGTTTTACTATTAAGTTTCTGGAAGTTATATTAAAAAATGAAGAACATTGCACAATTGATGATGGAATAGAAAGATGGTTACACTTAACAAAACAATATATTATAACATCTTTAGAAAAAAAAATTGAAAAATTAAGTCATAATATAGATATATGGGAAACTGTAAATAATATGGTGATTAGCTATTATTACTATGATCATCCTGTTATTTTAAAAAGGATTCATTGAAGATCATTGAAGTTGGGTTTGGAGAGTTAAAAAGCATTCAACTGAATACAGAGTAAGAAGGAGTAACAGCATTTGCACAACTATCAGAACCACTATGTGTTATGGCATTCATTAAATATATGGAATCAAAAGATAAATCTTATAATCCATTGTTAAAAGAAATGTGTCATAATTTCCAATTTCCATCACACTGTGGTCGACTTTTTGAAATATTTTTAATAAAACCACTTACACAAATGTTCAATGAAAGCATTTTATCAAATAATGGTATTGTTAAAAAGGCCATTGGCATTGATCAATGTCCAGAAGTTTTTTCCTATCCTATAACAATTGTTAGACCAGACTATAAAATAATTCTTTGTGAACAAGGTGATGAAGATTTTGGTCTGGATCAATTTCTTGAATCTCCAAACTCAACATTCTTTGTTCCAGAAGATACAGCTGGTCCAGATTTGGTTTTTATAGTTCAATTTAAAGGTCCTGATGAAAACTATATAGATGTACCAGTTTTTGTTCAAGCAAAACTATCAGTGAATATAAAACCAGCAAAAGCCATTAGAACAACAGATCCTAATGCATTTTATGCATATCAAAAGAAAGAAAATGAATTAGGTTATGATGAACCAAATTTCACAAATGAGCCATCTGTAAACCAAGAAAAGAGAAAGAAAATTATTGAAATTATTGATAAAAAGTTTAAGAAAGCAAGAAATAATGGTATCTTTTGGATTCGAATATTGGTTGCATATCCAGCAAAAATTCAACAAAAAAGCTACTGGAGAAGTATTGATAATAGGCATACAGGCATGCATATTTCAGAATTAATGATTATAATTGATAATGATGAAGCAAAGCATTTTTTCAAGCAAGAAGAATTGAATATCTTGGATGCTTTAAAGAAATGTAAAGCTGAATATATCACATTTAAAGAGAAAACGGTATGATATTAATAGTTTTATCTTCTTTTCAATAAGGAATTAATTTGTGATCCATCAATGAAGGAAAGGATCAACATAGTAAAATTCGGGGATAAGTATCATAGTAAAATCTATTAGTGTCCATAATCTGGAGCCGCTGTGGAAATAACACAATATTTTATATCTAAATTTCTACTTTAAATTTTACTAAATAAATCTCCGAGCTCCTGGCTATCTTTCTAATTTAAATTTATAGAAATAGCTCTAAAATTAAATAATATATATATGAGGGCCAGATTGGTTTGTTTTTAGCTTGGAAAGAAATTTTGATTTAATACAACTCTTATATGTAATTTTTATGCAGAACATTTCTGGCTTAGAAACAATATCCACTTTGCATAATAAAATTCTGAGTTATTTTCTTTTAAAGTTTCAAACAACAAAAATGTGAAAAGATCTGCATAATATTAATATTTATTAATACAGTCGCACCTGTCTATTTGCATACTGTTGGGACTGATGAGTTTTTATGCAAATAGACAGAATATGCATATTCACGTTATTGTGTGGTTGATGTTACATACAATCACGTGACACGAATGTAAAAATTGTTTCGTGTCATTCGCGTCATGGTTTTAATCAATTCATTAATTTTAATAGCTTAATCATAAATTTTTGAATTTTACTCAATTTTATACAATCATATATTTCGTTATCCTTTACATTTACAATGAAACAGCATTATCAAATCTGTTTAAAAAAGCAAGATGACCCAAGAATAACCCAAAAAGAATTAATTAATTGGTGTGAACAGGAATTTGGTATAAAAGTTGATCAAGCAACTATTTCCAGAACATTAAAGTGCTCATATGAGTATTTGGATAATGAAACAAACTTACTACAAAATCCACTACAGAAAAAACCCCGTAATGTTAGATATCCTGAACTTGAGCTTGCACTCCAAGAATGGTGTTTACACTCACAAAACCATATTCCTCTCACCGACCTAATCATAACTGAAAAAGCTAAATCATTTGCAAAATTGCTTAATATTCCTGATGATGCATTGACATTTTCTTCTGGGTGGCTTCAAAGCTTTAAAAACAGGTATATTTTTACACATATTTATGATAATAAATTATTAATTTCTTTTGTAACAAATAATTACATATGTAGAAACAATTTGAAAAGATATCAATTGCATGGAGAAAGTGGATCAGCTGATACCAATGCAATTGAAAATGCACTTCCTGATTTAAAAGCAATTATTAGCTCCTTTAGACCTGAATGTGTATATAATATGGATGAAACAGGACTGTTCTTCTGGCAAGTATATTACTATAAACAATATTTAAAATATTGTTATTTGGTAATGTAATTTAATAAATACATATAGACTTGAACCTGACACAACTCTAGCAACAAAACAACTTGAGGGGAAAAAAAAGGACAAGGAACATTTGACTGTTGTGCTCTGTTGTAATGCTGATGGAACTGATAAACTTCCATCTCTCATTATTGGAAAATGTTTAAAACCTCAGTGTATGAAAAATGTTAATATGAATAATCTTGGAATTACCTATAGAGCAAATACTAAATCATGGATGACAGCAGTTTTATTTCAAGAGTAAGTAAATTTATGATTAATAATTTAATATGACTTACTTTATAAAGCATTTTTAATCAATTCTCAATTGTAGATGGTTAAGACTATTTGATCAAAGAATGAGTGGTAGAAAGGTGTTATTATTACTTGACAATGCACCTTGTCATATAATTGAAGGGGTAGAATTGAAAAATACACAGATTAAATTCTTACCACCAAAATCCACATCAAAGATTCAACCTTGTGATGCATCTTTCAAGAAACATTACCATCGTCAATTTGTACATCACCTTCTTGAAAAGTTTGAGGATAATGAACAGGTTGCCAAACTTAATGTTTTAGAAGCTATACTATTCATTAAAACAGCTTGGAGAGATAATGTTACAATAAATACCATTGCCAATTGTTGGAAGCATACTGGTATTATTAAATTTGATAATAATGAAGAGACAGAGCAAGAAGGAGATGAAATAATTCCTGATATAGAAAAGAATATTACAGCCTTAAGGTATTAAAAATATTGTCTTGTTATTTTAATTTCAATGTTAATTGTTTTATTATTGTTACTATTATAGATACAGAACCCCTATGAGAACAGAAGATTTTTTGAATCCTGTTGAAGAAAATGGAATAGAAGAACCTGTAGAAGAGGAGACAATTATTCAATTAATTCAAGAAGAAGGTAATGAAAATCAGAATGAGGAAGATGATGAAGGAAATGAGTTACCTGTTATTTCTGCTAAGGAAGGATTAGAAGTTTTAGAAAAAGTCATGACATTCTTGTTGCAGCAGTCTAGAGATTGTTCAGATGAAATTAAAAAGTTGGCTAGTGTAAATAATACTGTGAAAAAGATTTATTCTGATTCTATGAAACAAAGTGCTATTAATGATTTTTTTGAAAAATAATAATAAAATAAATTCTAGTTGATCTTTTTCCTTTTATAGCATAAATATGCATATATATGTTGTGGGGACTTAGTAGAATCAGGATCACTTTTGATGCATATGCACGTTTACATTATGCAAATAGTTCATAAGTCCCAATGTGGGACTAAGCTACCTTTATGCAAATGAACAGATTATGCAAATATACAGTATGCAAATAGACAGGTGCAACTGTATCTTTAACTGCTTCTCATTTCTAAAATTTAAAAATGAGCAAATGACCAATTTTTAATGTAAAACTTATAACTATTGAATGAAACAAAAATGAAATTACAGGTATGAATTTACACATCTGAACATGTATTTGTATTTGTAGATTGTTATGACAAAAATTACATCAGGAAAACGTGTTTTTTGATACACATATTATATGTATATTATACGTGTATTATTTTACATTACAGGTGATCTGCATATAATATATGTATAATTCGCATGTAATTTATGGACATGTGTATTATATGTATATTATATGCGGGTCACCTGTAATGTAAAATAATACATGTATAATATACATATAATACATGTATCAAAAAAAACAAATTTTCCTGATGCTCATTCTTGCTTACTATAATTGCATCCTGAAATTATTTTATAAAAAGATCAAGGTTTTGTTATGGAGAAATTCAACATTTAGAGTTTTAAAGTTATTTTTTAGTTGATATCAAAATGGTTTATATTTATTTTTTGACACATTCTTATGTTTTCCAATAATTTATATATGTAAAAAATATGAATTTTATACCCATA